TAATCGGTAATCGGCCATTTTGCTTATCGGTGCATCCTTACTAAATACAAATTCTTCCTCATGTCAATATCAGGTCTCTTCGACATTGGCGAACACTCGGCGTAGGTTAGTCCAAATTAGTTTACGCGAAAAGTAATGCCTTAGAAAAGTTGGTACAGAAATGGTTCCCCATTGCCTTCTTTGAGAAAGCGCTGTTACGTGAAGGGGAAATGCTTTCCAGAAAGTCTTTTAAGAGTAACGGTCTCTTATTCAGACATTACAGATGGGAAAATATCCTGCTATTGCCAATATTCGAACATAGTTTCGGCCGAACTACGCCGATCTACTAAATGTTATACAAATGGAATTGTCTAAAAGAAGAACACAAACGTGAAAAAACCTACAGACAGTATAAAGATGGTATCAAAAGCTCCAATCATGTTCGACTTTATATATTGTTTTATTTTTGTTTTATTATCATTATTTTTCTTGTACGTTTGTTATAATGTATTATATTTTGCTTAGATACTTCGAATAAGCTTATGGCCACAATGCCATGAATAAATAAATAAATAATATTAATAATTAAAAAAAAANGTAGTCCGTAAACTTCACACGTGTCGGGCTGTGATTCCTACAAAATCGGATTCATAAAGAACGGAACGTATCTACCGTCTTATAGGAGGATCGACTGTATTCCTAATTTTGGCAGCGTAAAAGCCCAAAGATTGCAGGCTTTCCCACTCGTATAAACTCGCACACTTCTACTGAGTATTATCAAACCGTGCTTTTACTCTTACTGCTTATTGTGCGGATAGCGTAAAATAATAATAATTCTAAAATAAATTAAACAAGAAACAGAAATCGCGTTACTTTATTTGTTTCCTCACAAGCGTTTCTCCAATACAGAAAACATTATAAATTTATCGTTTTATGTTTTCAATTATTTTTAGGTTCATTGACATGTGCAATAATGCATGCTTAATACTATCAAAACATAACAATCAAAAATTTATATTATTTCGGTGCATTGTTGTTTTCTGTTTTATTAAAATTTCGACTTGAAATTAAGAAACAGAATTTGATAATTAAATAAAAGTAATTAAAGTCATAATGGTAAGTAAAATCTTTCATTTAATCTTCATAATGCATTTTGAGTTTCCCAAACTCTTTTATTAAAACTTCATAAAATAAAAAAAAACTATTAATTTCAATCTTATATCGAAGATTTAATACATATTATAAATATTTTAAACATATTATTATAATATATAACAATAATTTATACTATTGTAAATAATTTTAATTTATGTTTTTCACGAATGTTTTATTGTTAACCACCGACTTATTTTAAAAGGAACAAGAACATCAATGCTCGACATGCGACCAGACGTTTCTTAGTGAACACGAATTGGAAAGACACGTGGAAACTCATACGGGCGAAAGGCCGTTTCAATGCAATTTGTGCAAAAAAAGCTTTCCGTTTAAGAGTCATTTGAGACAGCACAAGATAGTGCACTCCGATGAAAGACCATTCAAGTGCAGTTACAATAACTGTGAACATAGCTTTAAACGAAAAGGCGACTTAGATCAACACATGTACACAGCGCATTCCGATGAGTTTTTATCTAAAGTAAATATTACAACGAGTTCCTCTGTTTTCATTTTCATTTTTATTTTTTAAATATTAAAGCGATGAAAGTTATAAAATAAACAGACACAATATATTTGTGCAAGATAATAAAAAACATTCAACTAATATTTCAAACAATACAAGATTCAACTGTGTTAATTTACACAAACAAATGTTAAAATAATAATATCAATAAACATCATTATTGTTCTTTTGTGCTAAAAATTTTTTCTTGTTTTCTACTGGTTTTGACGTTCGTTCAAAAATTTTAAATTGATTATGTTTTTTTTTGTATTTTCTATGAAAACTTTTGCCAATTAATCACTCATAAACATAAAATCAACTTCCAAAATAGTTTTTCTAATGTATGTAATTGCTAATGTTAATAATAGGATTTTAAGCAAATTAATCTGCAACCAAACGAGGAGTTGCAGAGTAATTTGCTTAGATGTATTTTTACAAAATAATTTTTTATAGGCATAGTTTAATAAAACTTGAACAAAACCGTACACTTTTAATTGCATCATCATCACAATAAAATAAATTGTGGAAATCAACATTTCGAAACGTTCTCATAAATAATTGACATGAAGTATTTACATCTTGCGTTTAAAAAGTTACTTTTTATGTTTTTATATATTGTTAACAATTAACTAAAAATTTATTCAATAATTAGATTACACCAAACGACCCGAAGATAATGAGCCGTAAATGTAACTACTGCTTAAAAGTATGTCAGTCTCCTGCTGCTTTAAAAATTCACTTAAGAACTCACAACAGAGAACGGCCATTTTCGTGTAATTTTTGCAACGGCACTTTCACTTGCAAAAGTAATTTAAACAGACACATCAGAAGGTTCCATCCAAAGGAGGAAACTCCATCTTTCTCAGAAGTAAGTGTATAAATATGTTAATAACTAAACTTTTAATACACAATGAATTAGACTGAAAAGTTTATAATAATAACTTCAGTTATTTAATGAGCACACAATGTTTCCATATTTATTCATCGCATATATTCTAAAAACTCGCATTTGTTCCATTCGATTCACCGAGTAAATAAGTTATATCGTAATTAACAAAGTAATATCTGTATTAAAAATGTACAACGATTTTGAATTCTTTGTCTAAAAACAGCGATTAATACGCGCAAATAGAGAATTTTTTCTAAGTTCGGGTCATTCGATATACAGCGTTATTCGATATATCATAACGTTTCTGTCATTTCATGTATTTCAAGTTAAATATTATAATTAATTTTTTACATTTCAAGTTATTAAACACAAGTTTACTTCACACATTTCATATGTTTATTGATAAAACTTTATTTGTACTGAATGAAAATTAACCGACATCGAATTTTTTTTCTTTTTCTATTTTATCACATCAAATAACGTTTCTGCCTACTGTTTAGTGTCAGAGATAAACGTATTATTTTTATTATAATTTTCAGCATGGCTGAAAATTTTGGTAAGACATTCCCCTAATATTTATATACACAATACATGTGGATAAACATGATATATAAAAGCATATATGCATAAATAAATTCATTAACACATTTGCTTAATATGCGTCAAAATTTGATTGCTTTTAAAATGTTCTGTAAAGTAATGAACTGTTTTTAATCATGATTGAAAAACATTAGCAAATTTTCGAAACCCAAAGGGTTTACCTATGTAACACTTATGTCATGCATGATAATATAACTGCACATTTTCCGATTACTTTTATATTTTAATGGTTACTTTAGAAACATTTCTCGCATTTAGAAGTCTTAAAGAACACCTCATATGTTCTGAATATGATCCTAACAGATCAACAGATTAATTTCTCATTTTTGTAATAAACGATTTTGAGAAAGTTTTATAATATAAGATAACAGACTTCTAGGCTCCCTCTCCTAAATAATTCCATTAAATAAACGTTTTACTTTATTTGTGAGATTAACTAAGCAAATTTCTTGTGAATTGTCGTAAATACAATATGTAATGATTTTACGCTCTAGTAAATTGTCAGTAAATCATATCAAGTACTCGAACGTTATTTAATTAATTAAATAAAATTATTCTTTAATTTCGTTGTCCTACAATCATTTTTCTTAATTTCTTTTAAAATAAGTCTTTATAGTTTAAATAA